TGGCAGGTGACAGAGCACCACAGTTCCTCACTAGGGATCATATGATTTATTCACATCCATGGCTGACATATGTATCTCCCCACTTTGTGATCTTACAATTCATCATTTGGTGAGTCAGAGAAAGATATACTGGTCAAGCACAGAACCACAGAACACAGCTGCAAAACATGCAAATATGATACTGGAAATATCTTGCCTGACAAAGTCTAAAGAATTATTTATGACATTGTATAAAGCAGCGGGGAAGTTGTATACAAGCTGGCCGTCTTTTCTGGTCAAGGCAAAGAGATGACAATCAAAACCCAGCAACCGGGATGACTGTGGGAGTGGGAAGCCTGTCTTCTAACAGGAAACCAGAAGCTACAGAAGCAAAAGTGAAAGCTGGGTCCCCCTGCAATATATTTTGAGAGAATTGCTATTCGGAATTGGAGGGTGGTGGTGAAAAAAAAAAAAAAAAAAAAAAAAAAAGCTTTCCAGACTGAGGACAAGTAACAAAATCAGTTTTAAAACTGGTTAGTTTTAGAGTTGTTTAAAACTGGGGTAAAAAAATCCACTGATGCCCACCTTAAGGTATATAATAGCAATCACTGATGTTCCAGTCCAATCCAATATCCTTGCGATTGTTGTATTTATTTTGAGCTGATATGTTGCAAATTAAAAACAGTATCTATCCTCAAGTACTATTTGATTAACAGTCCCCCTCAAATTCCTGAAGTAGGGCACAAAATTAAACTATGGAATAGTAGGTCAAAACTATGTAAGTAACATTGATATATCTATTTATTACAGCAGGGCAGCAAACGACTACCTGCCAGAGTTCCTCTAGAAACTGTTTTGGTCAATATTCAACTAGTGACCTGAATATTGGCATAGGAAAGACACCTATTAAACAGACACGCAGAGAGGATCCGCAAGCACGTTCAGGGGCAGGAACAGAATTCAAAACAAACTGAAACTGTAAAACGAGGTCTGGAAAAACAGGGCAAGATTCAGCAAAGGCATATGCAAAGTACTACACCTAATCAATAATAATCTACTGGACAAACTCAGGCTGGAGAACAACAGGCTAGGAATTTGGCAGAATCAATCTGTGACCAATAGCAGATCACAAGCTGAACTAAGTCAACTATGTCATATGGCTACAGGACAGACAAACGCTACAATGGGCTACATAAGTAGGAGTGCTGTCCTCAAGGCAACTGAAGGAATCCTTATGCTGTACTCATCTGTAATGGTCTAGCAGCTCCTTGCTCAAGAAGATGAGGATCATTTAGAAAGACCAAACAGCAAGACTGATCAGTGAAAGCCTGACCTATGCAAAATGAGGGAAAGGACTGGGCTTGGATGAAAAAAGATAAAAGTGAGTGGCAGGAAGAGTGGAATGCTACAACTTTGCTGATGTTGCTACTCTTTACGTGCATAGAGAAACAAGAAACACAGGCTTTGAACTGCAGGAAGACAGATATGGCTTAGGCTTCACTGGGGCAAAGAGGATAACGAGCCACCAGAATCGACCATGCCCTGGCACCATGGAGCTTCCTTACTGAAGATCTTCGAAAACTGGTTAAGTATCTGCCAGGAAAGATGTGGGCATCTCTGATCCTCCTCAAGGGCACTGCAATGGACAAGCTGATCTGTAGAGATGTCCCCCTTGCCCTTCACTTCTACAACTGTCAGCCATTGTCAGGCAGAGGTTATAACGCACTACTGATTCACCTCAATATTTTTTAAAGATTTCTTCTGGTTCTTCTGTTTTAATCTAGCCTGGTCCACTTCTTTATGTATTTTGTTTGAGAGGAGCAGTTCCCACAAACATTGCCATTTGTAAGCTGGGCTTGCAACTAATTGCTATTCTTAAAAGTGTAATTTAGAGTGTGTTTACCTAAGGGCTTTAAACAAAAAAATCATCACAATTTGTAGCTTGACTACGATGCTGTTAAATGACATTCTCATCTTCCCTCATTTTGTAACAACATACAAAGACTATTAGATTACCTCTATCACCAGAACCCATTTGGCACATCCTTTTCTTCATCCAACTCCTAATGAAAGCTCACATATAGTAGTAGTAAGCTCTGCTCTCTTTCCTCCCTCCCATTTTTAACTGCACAGACAAGAGAACTACTGCTAAGTATGAAGTAATTAGCCATGGCATACCCTTTGTATTCTCCAATATGTACTGGCTTTCTCTTTTTGTGGCATGTGAGCATTTGTAAGAATGTTGTTTCAGTGCTTACATTTTCCAAAGACCTTTCTATCTGGTGGTTATTCTCTACCAGTCCCTAAATGTACTTTTTTCAGCCATGAATAAGAGAAAATTCGATTTTCCTTGGTGTATCTGTGCAACCCCACTACATGTGCATGTGCATGCAGCTTAGAGTACACCTAGCTTTGATTCTTTTAATACGATAGGTCCTGGTACTTGCATCTTTAATACTCAGGACTTCATTAAACTTATCCCAGCTATTAAATTTTAGTAAGAGTGTACTCTGTTTCAGTGCTGTGACCACAGGCTTTTAACGGGTATGTCTCTTCTGTTAACTTTCTATATTATTATTCTGGCGTAGCTGAACTTCTTTGCACACAGAGGCCTACCATCCTGCTTTTTTGAGTCATCCGTGTAAGGTGGTGGGGATTATGGCAGCAAACTCCTTCCTTTGCTGAAGACAACAACCTTGATTTAGGCTCTTTATCTTAAAATAAGCTCCCTCTTCTCTTAACTGAATGGTTTTTCCCTAGTCTTCCAATTTCAGCTACTTAGTTTGCAAAACTTCCTTTTGCCTCCCATCAGGAATAGATTTGGAAAATGGAAAACAGCCATTTCTCCCATTCTTTCTGATCAATTGATCTTGTTACACAATGTGTTCTCTGTGCCATCACTGGGACCTCAGGTTTGCTTTTGTGTGATTTGTTGGCTTTAAAACTACAAAATCCCAAAAAAAAAAAAAAAAAAAAAACCAAAACAACAAACCCCACACCTTTTCACAAATCACATCAGCATTTATATTATCTTAAAAACCACATCTGTATATCTAACAGTGACTCCTGGGCCACACCTCAAGCTTAGCACACTAAGCTTGTCTTTTGGCAAACAGTGTGTGTTCCTTGCAGGAAGAAAATTGGAGGAAAAGGGTAGTCTGTCACTTGCCAAGGGTGGGGAGTAGGCCACTAGACCCTGGAAGAGATCAGAAAAGAAAAATTACTGGAAGAATACAATTAGGAGAGCAAAGATGTGATTTGGAAAAGTGCTGACCCAACCTAAGCCCCTGTCTAGAATTAAGAAAGAAAAAGGAATAGAACGATCTAAAGTTTACTCCAATACTAATTAACACAGCATTTCTCTCCCTTGTTGGAGCCACAGATAAGATATCTTTATCTATTCCATTCTTCCATCACCTTTGGGGTATTAGCCTTTTGTTTCTCCTGCTCTCCTGCAACGTCAAGGGAAGTCTCCTGCCTGATTGAGAAACTCCTGGCACCTGATGACAGCAACCTGAAACTGATGAGGCACCACTTTCTAGAACAGCACAAACCTAGAAAACCTTCCTTATTTTGAAGCCCACACATTTCAAGTCAAAATAAACTCATGTGCCCAGAGTCAGTTACTGGAGCTCCTCCTCTTTTATCTATATAAACGAAGAAGTGAGGGGAAAAAGCTTAAGTCAACAGCTCAAGAGCACAAAAGCCTTCAGCATCAGAGCCCGGAGTAGCATTCCCAGCCTCTCAGATGCTTCACAAGTCATCCCTCTATAAGCTGGTGTTCCTTTCCCCAGTCTATTGGGAATATTTTAACACCAAACCACAAACTTATATCCAGTGAGAAGCTGTTTTTACAAGAAATGAGGAAATTCATGGGAATCAAGATGACATATCAGTACACCTTAATTTTCATGGCTGTATCAAAAGAAAGCTTCCTTCTTTCACTGTATAGTAAGGAATCTCCACGCTATCAACACAGTCATAATATTTATGCCAATTGTACAAAATGCTATGCAGACTATATGTTTAACCCTCTGCAGCTGCCAACAGTGAAAGTAACTTTCCCAAAACTCAGTGACAGATCCTTTGCTCTAAGAGAAAGGTCTGCTTAGTGCAGCCACTGAAATGAAGAATGGTAAAATATGTCAGCAAGGTGCTGCTGGGGGATGCAGTATACCCCAAATTGCTCCATCCAGTGTGTAACTTAGAACAACTCCTAGGCTGCTTTGCATTATACTACCTTATCACAGTCCCAGAGGGATTGCTGGTCCAGACCACTTTCTTAAAAGACTCATGCAAAAAGAATAGAGGCATTTTTTTTCCATGAGACAAGGATTCACTTGCTAGAGAAACTACTAATTGCACTTCAAGGGTAGGCCAGAAATGCCTGCAATACATGGGAAAAGGAAAAAAAAAAAGTCAGCTCCATGCATTTAAGTCCTGATATTACATGTTTGTGCTATTTCAAAGCCCAGTGAAACACAGGAGACCTTGGGCCAATTCTTTTGTGGTTTATGCTGATGCTTCACCGTTTGCTCCATCGTCTTTAATGCAGCTGTGGTTATGCCACAGAAATGAGGTTACCAGTAACCAAGTACTCAAGCCTAAAGTTATGGGACAGGCCTTCAATAGGCCTTAAATGAAGGCCTGTTAATTTGAGTGTCAGCTCATGTGGGTGCTACTGTCCAAATCAGAAGCTCCAAACTGATGGCACTAATGGCAGCCATCAAAATCGCTGGCTTTCTGAAGTTTATCCTGCCCACTTGCATCAATCAGCAAGGGAATCTACTGCCTCTGTTTTTGTGACACATAAGTTTTCCAACAGAAACTGAATAACAGTTGATACAATGATACGTCTAAGTTGCTGCTCTATGCTTTTCCAAGCCATAGATGACGAAAATTAATGACAGTCTCACTAGATTCACTGCAAGAGTTCAAGTATCTTTGAAGAACAAGCTTCTATGTCTACTGTCAACTTCACATTGGTAATGGCAAAGAAATACAGGATAAATGAGCAGTACCTTGGAACAATTTGTAGGAAACAAGAACCAGAACATGTAGCCTGGAAAAACACAGAGTAAAAGAGGATTCTTTCTCTGTTGCGCCATGTCCCCGAAAAATTACTGGAAAACTCTTTTCAATAAGCGGAGAACTAAAGCTTCAAATTCCTATAACAAGAGATGGGGACCACAGAAGTTTGAAGGCAACAGGAGTTTGCCAGAAGCTGTGAGTTGCAGTTCGCAATCGCTCACCAGCAGGTGATCTCAAGGCCTCTTTTAATGTCCCTTTCTGCCATCTATTTCTGACTGACTCGTCCAGTCGTTCAGATAGGCTTTGTAGCTTTCCTGCCATCACCATGGCAATGAAAATGAACTTAAGAGGTATTTCAAGACTCAGCTGGGTATTCTCCAAATCACACGAGCACCAAAAAAAGGGGAAGCTAAATTCCACCTGTTACCAGGAATGCACAAAATGACAAAAACTGGGAGAAGGGATGTTTTCCAGTGTTTATGATGCACAGCCTTCCTGGGTCTACTGTCTTGTCTCCACTGATCAACTTAATGTACCTTTCAGTGCCGGATTTCCAGAAACACAACCCAAATATTGCCTACTGTTAAGTGTTTTACTCCTAACCTACCCTAATCTCTCTCTCTTCCATAGCACCACCTTGCATCTCCACTCATGCAAAATTAACAGGGTGGCTAGTAAGAATAAGACCTTCAGAACCCCTGTTTTCCACTATTCCCTTCAGCTCTAATCATGCAATTAACTCCTCGTTAGAACACTCCTGGTTTGCAACTTTGCAACTGCACCGACTTGACTTTCATTTTCTTATACGCAGTTTCACCGCCTCTTATTTTGAATATTTTAATTCCATTGTTTTTTCTGGGTCATTTGTACTGAGTCGGTTCTTTGGGCTAGCCATAGTGGGATTCGGATTTAGCTTTTTGCACTTTATTCTTAAATGTGAGCTCACAAATTTAATTTAAAGAAAAATATTATGCTTAATGCATTACACTAGTTTTTTTAATCTATTTCAGACTATTTTTGATGTGTATTTTTATGAGATTTGTAATTACCTTCTTCAAGCAGAAGTAAACAGCTTAGCTTTTACTGACACTTGCAGCTTTAATTATAATATTTCAGCTTACCCAGGAGAGATATTATCTGCAAAACCAAAGTTTAATTGCCTGGCCATAGCTGCTACTATATACAGACATGAAGCTTGTGAAGTCCTGCCTCTAACAGAGAATTCTGCTTTCTGGTTATCTCTTTCAGTGTTTTCACAGTGTATTCAGCTAAAAGAATGTCTTTCAATATCTCATACCACATACAGATTTTTAAATTGCTTGCAGTTGTCTCTCAATAATAAACAGTAGATTCTTGCCCCATCATCATATACTTTTGTGCTTCCTGTTCTGTGCCAAATATATTCCTGCTTTTACAGACCTATGCAAAAGGCCCATAATAGGCAAATCTACCTCATCAGTCCAGACCATTCGTGACTTCCTTTCTCTAAAAGTTAATACGTTACTCCCTTTACCCATCTTTATCAAGTGATACAGTCTACAAAGAGTGATCGATAAGCTTCACAGAAAACGATGCACATTTTTTTGTATTTTTAAGAAATACAGTTATAGAATTATTTTACATAGGCTTTGAACCATATATTTACATGTTAAACTACGCATGGTCAGACCACAGCCACTTGGATTATTTTATGAACTCTGAATTCTCAAATTATAAATTCTATCTAGCAACCAGGTCAGTCTGATGAAAGTTCTATAAGCACTAGCTGGGAATAAAAGAACAGACATTAGACTGACCACGAACATACTAACAAACATGCAGTCACAGAAATACCATATGGAGATGATTTTGCAAGAAATTATCAGAAACTGAACACTGGCCATCGTAAAAAGGTACCCATGAAAGGAAACTCCACGTAAGACTTTGCGCAAATGCACAACGCTTCTTAGGGCATGTAACACTTACAGCAGCGCGCTGAGCTCTACATTGGCACAGCACAATGACATCTAGCACCCAGTTACTCCAATCCAAAATACATACAGGAAGCTCTATGCAATTTCTTTACCTATGCCCACTGCCTGCTTCTTGTTCTTAAAGGCTGGTTAGAGCCAGAAGATGAGGAATCACCCATCAGTCTACTTCATATTATTGCTGAAGTTTTCTTTCTCATCTATCATTTAACATTCTTATATTCATCTTCTACTTGCACTTTCTCTATCTGCATAACTAAGTAACGGTATTGGCTCCCTTCACATATGCTCTCTTTTCATCTGCATGCCCAGTAATGTATTTTCCAGTTTTTCATTATTCATAGTCTCTATTTTCTCTCATTCCCATCTGTATACCTGATCAGTAATGTATCTATTATTAATATCTCATAGGTGTATACATGGCACTTTCACTGACACATAAGAAGGAACAGTGGCTTACTACATTCTTTCCTTAATTCCACATGAGGTTTGGATGTGCAAGGTATAAAAAAAGCAGGCTCCGAGTTAGCCAGCTGGCCTGACAAAAGACAAAAGGGGAAGAAGTGCATCCTCCAGCTGACTAACTGTTGCTTACTTTGGCACTATAAAGGCCCAGATAGGAATACAAAGCAACACCTTGAGCAAAAGACGTGTGTAAGACAAAAAAGAAAGACATCAATGCAAAAAACTTTGCACTTAAGACTCCTAAATGGCAGTTTCAAGGCGCCGGTTCAACTTTGACATGAAAACTTCCTCCCAAATTTTTGTGCCTCCAAGTGGGAATAACATTGCCTACCTGCCCAAGTGCTCCAAGAGGGAAGTCAGTACTCTGTTTTTTTAAGTAACTGCATCTTTACACATCATGTTTTCTGCAACCTCAGTGCCATTTTCCAGCTTTTCTTATGTAAATTATTCATCTTAATAGACTGCGCAGCTGTCTTATTCAGGCTTGAAATGACTGGGAACAGTTGAGATGTGCGCTTCAAACTTTTGAGTCAATAACGCAATACATGGGAACTCATTCTAAAACACAAATAAAAATTGGGTCTCACTTTGCTCTGGTTGATGTAAAAGGCCTGCTGTGTAAACGCAGCTGCGTTTTTGTGAATCTCATGTATAAGATGAAGCCTTCTGTACCTGTAAATGCTCATTTCTAAACTTTCAATTCATGTAATATAAACTACTGTCTAGGAAGACTGTGCTTGGATGTTCACACGCAAGCGTGCAATGGAATTGTTTATTTTTTAGGCATTCACCTTGCTAAACCCTACATGTGCAACTCGTATTTTCAGGATAATTGTCAGGAAAGCCTAGGAGGAAAAGTCATCTTTGGACATTTTAAACAGCAACTGTGCCTAGCTGTAGCAGCAAGAGATTTTTCAGCATGATGGGATCCAGTGAGAACCAGGTGTTTCCTCACTTGCAGTTCCTGGCCCTGGCTGGACCCAAGAATTTTCTAACGGGATGATCTCTGTATCTAGCCAGTCCAGGTGTTTTCTAGTGAAACACCTGCGGGCTCCGCAGAGCTCCGGTGCTGCCCAACCGGTCGGGCGCGGGCCGGGGAAGCTCTGCCTGCGGCGCCGGCATCTGAGAGACTTCTTTTCTCCCCTCGTTTCACAACCAACCCGGCGAAAAGCAAGCGGGCGGCGGGACAGCAGCCCGGGCGGCGGGACAG